ATGGGTTTGCTGACTGCGGAGGAAGATTTTATCATGTGACTTACTTATCTGATTTATCAGATCAGCTTGCCGTAACAATAGTATTATACATTATTAATTTACTCATTTGCTGATTCAGTCTTGGTAAATAGTGATTCTCTATGTAGTATTGAATATATTATCCTCATGGTAGAATCCCAAGTTAACAGTACTTTACTATAGACTATGATATAAGAATATTACCTAACAATTACAATTGTGTGCTCTCTCTCAAATGGTAGAATGAGCAGAGATAATTCTTAAGTGCATTAATTCCGCTTCGATATTAAATTTAGTTTCATATTAGCACTCTCTGCCATGAGTTTCGCCTTAGATATTAGGTACGATGTCCATTCATACGCAGAAGTCTATAGTAATAGGCGGCGGCTATTGAGTTAATTCTTCAGTGATGATAAATGAAACGCGTTTCACCGTGAGTAAGCATGACTACTAATCTCAATTTTAGCCAATCCTGGAACAGAAGCAAGCAAGGCTTTTAATGCTGCAGTTGCTCAATCAACATTTATCTGCTGCTTGTTTTTATCATTCTGAAGGCGACTCAATAACTTCAAGAAGATAGCGGTTCAATAACCCATATAATTACGGCCTGTAGTGAATCAAACAAATCCATCGTTTACGTTTATTGGAACTCGTCAGGAAACGGTTATAAAAATCACTTAATATTAATATTAATAATATCCATTTCTAATTAAATACTCTTTGCCTAAGAATTATTGTTATTATTATTGCTTATGGAGGATGGGATAGCTCAGCAATGTGGGGGATAATAAGCCAACGCTCTAATTGGCACGGCCTCCACCTTGGCCTTGAAATATTCCCGGTCAACTAACGCAGTCCCAGCGCGACTGATTGCGATAATATGTTCTCTAGGTTTCAGCAATGTTCTATACGAAAGGGTCAGTGGGTCGAAGAGTGTGTCCACATACGCTAAATTATATTTGAGAAAATAAACTATTAGTTGTGTTACGGCAAGCTGATCTGATGATAAAATCTTCCTCCGCAATCAGCAAACCCATGATCGACACATCGAATTTAGCTCAGTAATACAAAATAAAAAGTTAAATTAGTAACGTAAACGGCGTGTCGAAATTCCGCAACAGGCGCAGTAATAGAAAAAATCCGCAACAGCACAAAATACTATAATTGGAATTAGCTAAAAAGAGTGTTACGCCTTTTCCGCAACGCTCGAAGATATATAAATAGCTCATATTCCATCGTTAAATCTTCATGTTATCATGTCCTGAAAACATCAAAAAGTTCGAATATTGTTGTGAAATAAATAATACTACTGATCTTAGTAGTATTCTCCCGAAATCCTTTATTATAAATATCCATTCAATTTCTATCGTCGAAATAATTGATTATTCGACCGGTCATTCCACTAAACGGCTCATTCAAGCTGTAAAGGAACCCCAATAAACGGCTCACTCAAGCTGTAACGGAATAGCATTGATTTTGATCAAGCCAATTAGGTCCGCTGATCAATTACATGAATAACGGAACGAGAGTTCATAATCAATTATCGAGACGATTAATGTTTAATTAGTTAGTAAAGACAAGTGACGGATACCGACTAGTCGACAAACAAATCGAAGATAGCTCTGTTTAATTTTATAAATAGTATTATTATTCTATTAGAGGTACCCTTATTTGTATTCACGAGTGTTTGAAACTCGGTGAGAAACGCGCACAAATAAAAATAGGTCACTTGAGGCTTAATTCAATCTTAATTGTAGTAAGGGCGATAGTACGAGCTAAGCCTGGTAACATGCGAACACACCTACACGAAAAGATAAATCGCTCTCCCAAAACCCCCCCATTTAATTCCCGACCGTAATAGTTGGAATGACTTCGCTCTCGTACTTCTCCAATCCAGATAACAAGGTGTAAATTGGTAGATAAAGGCACAATTGGTCCCGGCATCGCAAAACAGACGGATGGAAGGATAAACGCATAGACGTCACGAAAAGCGTCCTTGCGCCTCAGGTCGTCTGGCTTCTCTATGCATCTGACATATTCTTTGTTTGCTTGTTACGCGACAAAATTCTCTTCCTGCCACGTGACATTAGTCACGGCGGTTATGCATCCGAGCACAGGGCGCTCTGCATTGATCTTGTCTGTTTCACAAAAAGCCAATCTCGATCAAAAACAATATTAATTTAATTAATATTTATCGTTATGTCAATATCAATAGATTAGATCATCTGAAGTTAACACTGCGGGAACATTTGGCTTTGGAGATAATATTTATGGTATGGTATTATATAAACAACACTCGAACCCTCTCGGTTTGTACTCCACTGACTCAATTCATTATTATGCAAATATTTAGAACCAGACATACAAAATCACTTTCACAGTTAATAAACCCCATCAGAGTATGCAAAAATGGTCTCTCACGTCATTCCCGATGCAATTTCTCAACACAAACTGATACGGTATGTAGTGTGAGTAAGAGGTCCTGATTCAGTGGCTTGACGAATAGTTTAATGATAAAACTCGCTTATTCTATCAGAATACCGACATCTCTGACGAAACAACATACGCTAATGAAAGGGTACTCGATCGATTTCTAATAACGCTACTTTGTCGTCGGTTATATGTTACAAATATACTCTCGGCTAACCATTATTTTAAAATTAGGATCTAATATTAAGCGTACTTCACTGCCACCCAACTAAACGCGAAATTAACTCTTACAAGAAAAGGCATGTTAAAACATACCCTTCACCGGTGGCACCACCAACCACTGTTCAATCATCTCCAAGACAACCTGAACCGGTTCAGCAAGTAGACTCACAACAACAACAACAACAACCACAACCACAACCACAGCAAACATTTCGCGAGCAAAGAGCTGAATTCATCAATAAATTATTCCAAGACACTATTGAACATTTGGCTCTAATTAAAATACAATCTCCATTTACTCCACTTAATTTAAGTTACGTTGCAAAAACGCTTGTACATCTCCAAAAGTTAGGTTTAATGTCAATAGCGGTTTTGGATAATGAATATTGGAAAACACCTCAGAACCGGCGATATGACAGACTCCGTGACCTAATGATTGCTGAGGCTCTTACCGTCACCGAAGCCATTGAATCGGCCGGCGGTCGAGCGGCACCCGTATACACTGGTGTGTTTTCAGTGGAGAACAAACTGAGCGATCATGTTGTTTCCACACCTGCCACTGATGGTAGTCATAATATCAATGTATCTTTATCATGGCTGAGGAAATTGACGAATCTCGGCCAGATACCGTTAATATTGCCGACCGCTATAGATGATTCTTCGGCACAAAGGACAATATCACCTGATTCTGGAATGGTCGCTTTATCATATGCTTTGGCCCATTTGAAGGCAAACGAAACAGTATCGGATACGGAAGGGTTTAATGACAAAATGGTATTTGAGCCATCAAAGATTGTAGTTATTAATTCAGAAGGAGGTATTCCGTCTGCTGAGAGGAAAGGATCACATGTATTTGTCAACATTCAGTCGGAATATGATGATATCAAAAGTAGCTATCAATTAAATCCGCAGTGGCATACCACACATCCAACTGGATTGGAAAATCTCGAAATGATTAAAAAATGTCTAGAGCATTTACCAATAACATCTTCAGCAATAATGGTACCGGCTCATTCACCGATTGGCCTAATAGCAAACTTGATAACAGATAAACCTCTCTTTTCTTCATCGCTTCCTATCCGCTCTGCTTCTACTCCCCTGACGACAACTACGGTCCTCCGCCATGGCCTAAAAGTATCTCATCACACCTCATTTTCCACTCTCAATATCGACTCTATGGTTAAACTCATCGAGTCGTCATTTGGGCGTCGTTTAGATGTTGATCATTACTTGACGAGGATGGAAAGTTGTATCGATAACATCATTCTCGTTGGTGACTATCAGGGTGCAGCGGTGATTACTAAAGAGAATGAGGATGGAGCGGGAAAGGGTAACATAGCATATTTGGATAAGTTTGTTGTGGCGCCAGACAGTCAGGGGATTGGTGTGGCTGATATATTGTGGAGACGAATTGAAGTTAATTATCCCAATATTGTATGGAGAGCGAGAGCAGACAACCAGATTAACAAATGGTGAGTATGGGATGAGAATGACGTTACTTGTCGGTTATTTCCTATTAATTAAGCAACCGAATTTCCAGGTACTGGGAACGATCAACTGGTGACCTAAGAATACCAGGAACTAACTGGACAATGTTTTGGTATGGAATAGAAGGAGTTGATACGATAAATGGTTATGCTAAAGTATGTCGGAAGATCCCACCATCACTGTATGGGTGAAGTTGAGATGTTAATCGGCATAATAATGATGTTGATGACAAGGTTGATATATTAGATGTTCTATTAATGGGTTGTATTTGCTCTTGCTAGTTGGTCTCCTTTTACCTAACTTTCCTTTTCATCATTCCATGTTTCTTGAATCACTTCCTCCTCATTCTTATGTGTATAATTATTTAATCATAATGACATTGTTATCGATAATATGGGACGATTTTAAATACAGTGCCGGTGGTCTAATTAATAATCGAACAAAAGAATCCAACATGAAAATGTGAGACATTAGTATTCACAGCACATGATCATACTTCTTAGTGTTGATCGACCATAACTAAGAGTAATGAGAGCGGGTTTCTTTTTAGTTTGCCCGCAACAGTATTAATAGGGAAATTCTCAAGAACCGAATTCCATATGCATCGAGTATAGACTCTTTTATTTCCATTATCCACAATAATGCGCATTTAACATTATTTTTTTACCCCCGTTTCCTGGACGATTTATCAGTATTAGTATAGGTTAAAGATACGCTCTTTGCATGTGTATTTGCATCGTCAGAAACTGACCATGTAACCAATCCTAACATAAGTTTATTTTCGTCACAAGTACGCATACGATCCCTTGATGCACCCACACGAGTAACTAATGTGTCTGCATACATATACCCTCCTGACAGGTGTGTCCATTAAGCTTACTGTCATGAAACACATGAACCGCGGAAATATCATCGATCAGTTAACAGTTGAAAATATATAGTATACATGTGTATAAAATCTTTAACGTTTCCTTTCCCTGTAATCACACCTTTACAAAATTTTTGAAGTCATCCATCACTGTCTGTTTTTTCAATTGGATTTTGTTGGAGGGCCACCATCAATTTTAGATATTTAAACTGAAGTAATTCTGGCTGTATGTTTGGAATTCAATATCTTGTTGAAAAATTCAAGACTTTCCATCACAGTAAATGCATTCTCAATTAAATTTTCATTGAGAATTGCCTATAAAGATCTCACATTCACGCTTAGTAAGCATAAAATATCAATAATAATGAGGCCTTAGTGCTGAAAATGCCCCCAGAAGTGAACCCACAATAATAAGAATGAAAAAAATTTCAATTGAGCAACATTAAACATATCCATATACATAATACAATAGATAATGGGACGCCTGTCATTTCAGAAAAACTTTGGGTTTACATGCATTATTAGCCCACAACTATCTGCAATTCATTGATATTAATATGGCAGAGATGACTCCGGAGAGTGCTACAAGCAATAATTATCTTAAAATAGGGAAAACATAGTTTTATTATAATTGACATAAATTTATTCTGCAAAATTGTTTTTTAATGGAACAAACTTTATGCAAAAAATTTTCATTGCTAACTTTAATCAATATTAAAGAGAGCTCAGACCACCAAGAAGTTTTGCTTACAAAGTTGACATTAGATGACCTATGAGAGAGGATCAATGTGCAAGACGCGAATCATGAATATAATTCCTAGCTGATTAACTTGCTTCTTATTCTTGTCTCATCAACATGCACAATATTAATACAGCTTAGTATCATATTAATATCCTCTGAGAAATCTTCTAAATCAGAGACATAAAACAGCCAACATACGAATTATGCATACTAAATAATAATGCCTGCTACATAAAGATTAAAAAAGGCTAGCAATTGATTATTATAAAAGACAGTTCAATTGCATCTACTACATATAATAAAAGATCAAGTTAATATGTACAGTAAATAATGTTAGTAAACTCAACACAGAAATTTCATTTTTAACATTTTAAAGAAGTTGTTTGAGAAAAAAAAAGAAGCTTTTATTAATTTTTCCATTCATTTACCTGCTTCTCTTCCAAGCCTGAGTACTGTTTTTTCCAGTATTGGCAGCATACCACTCCACACGCAGCAGATTGTTTCTGATGACTAGCTGCGGTGCCTATCGATGATGTAAATCAGGGGTTGAATAATAAACCTCTCTTCGTTTAGATTGTTGTCTGAAACGAGAAGAATTGATGAACTGCGGGTCTTCTACAAATACTCAAAGCAGGCAAAGACGATATATTGAGAGTCTACCATATGAATCTTACCTGGTGAAAAATTTTTTCGAGCAGTATAGTATTATCTCACATGACTGCTTTATAAGAGAATGTACGTGTTTGGCTGCGATGGATGCTAAATCGATGCCTTGAGCCACAAAACTTTACGGATTTGCCATTGTTTCTATGACGACACCAATATACTAATGCAATAATATTAATATTGTTAAACATTTGGGGGGCTAATTCATATTTAGCCGAATGTTTTTGCATCCTCTGAATAGATCATAATTACGAAATGTGGCGTCAAACCATATGACGACGAGCATAGTGGACTGTTGAGCATATCGCTTTTATTGGCTGCAAGAAAGAATTGAATTCTGAATTTCAGTCTAATCATTCTATCGGGCCTGCCCGTCGCTAAATCAGTTGACCAGTTTGTTTGGGTTGTACACAACGTAAATGATGTGAGCATACATATAATAGTGTGTGAAATGTTTGAAATGACGAATAAGGTATTCTCTATGGAATTCATTTACGAACATGAGACTTTCTATGTGGAAATGAAAAGAGAATTGTCTTGAGAGAATGTTATGTTGTGACCATGCGTTCTGAGAATGTTGGGCGTTCATCACATCAATGTTAATATGTATAGTCAGCTTATGAAGACTAGACACTAGTACCAATTGGAAGATGTGGTTTGTTGTTCGTTTTCGACATTCGCACCAGGTAACGCTTGCTATCGTGTAACCACATTGCACATGACAGTGAAAACAAGACAAGGATAGTTCTTATCAGTTGTACAGTCGAATATTTTAGTGTTCCTTTTTCTTTTTTTTCGTCTTCACCTGGGTTGCGGGTGAAACACAGAAAATAATGGAGACCTAAACAAGAGGGAACAATAAGCAGAATGTTCACAGTGAGACTAGTAAAGTAAAAAGGGATGCTTACAACACAGAAGGAGATAGATTGTTTGTTTGATATTTGAGTCTACGCAACAGAGCGTGTGTGACAATGTACCACTATAATATTATTAATACCTTTCTATATACTTATGCAGTATGTTGGTATTTTATTTGTTATCGATAGTGTTAGCTCCCTTTTGGGTTATCCTGCTCGTTTTGTTCAATAATAACACTATATTGCTATTGTATCAATGATGTTACTACACCTCTTATCTTGTATCAATGCCATAGCACAAAGCATTTAATGAATTACTTAGTCATCCATCCTTATTGCCTTATCTCTTATTTTCATGTTTCCTTCGTTGTACGTCACAATGTTCATTCTCATAGATCAGATGCTGATAGATGAAGCGAGTGTGACTGTCGAAATCATGTAACTTGGCTTGTATTGATTATATGGTAATAGCTAGTATATATCGAGTTAGATCCCTACTGTTATAGGCAACTGATGAGAATATCGTAAAGGACGGGACGTTGCCAATAATGGAGATGATAACGCAGACAATACAACTAAGTGCAGACATTATTGATCAATTACAGGAAATATATGCAAAGTCGCATGCATAAGGACTGTCAGTTATATTCTATTGCATGTATCGATTTTGTTATGAGGTTTGTCCTCACGGGAGGTTTACTGTTGTTTGTGATTATTATGTGCTACTGACAGACTCGTAATTACCCGTTCGCTTATTAACCTGTCACTATTTTGTATCTGTGGGCGTAGATGGTGTGGATACAACGCGTACCCATAGAAATAAAAAAGGGGAAATATCGATCTATTGTAAATGGGTCAATGGGTTGAATCACTTCGAAGATCGAATGCGTTTGTTTGTCCAAAATTGTGTTTCTGAGCCGAAAGGCAAATATTTAGTTAGACTGCATATGAAATTCGTTGTTCCCCAAGCTGCCAATTATCAATTGAATTAGCAAGTAAGATTACGAGATTGATTATTATACAAGTCTTACTTAATTTTCATATATGCGTGTATATTTTTCATGTAATAAACCAAGTAGCACAATATAACGCAAAGATTTTCTCACCAGCCCCATCACCAATTTGACGTGCTAAAATTGGTAGTATGTCATTCAATTGACGATCAGTTATAGGGAGGTGATAAATTGTTTTTTGTCATCGAGTGAGAGAGCAATAGCAGAAGAGGTAGTACAGTCTGCAAACATACACTGACCGACTCGCATTCATTTCAAAGAAAATTCCATAAGCCGATCTTGTCTTAAACAACTCCTGTCCTTACGTATCAAGCCTAGGACAGTTCTTTCTTTAATAGTACCAGCAATGGTAAATGTGGCGTCACTGTGTACCGTCAGCCACATCAAACAAGGGAATAAAATAATACAAGAAAGACAAAGACCATCCATCACTCCCACCAGCCCCCCAAAATGCGCTCTTTCATAATTACTTGTTTTGGCTTGTACGCTATAACAGGGATACATGCTTTTAAAGACATACACTCATTCAGTTTCGTAACATAAATAATAATGTGTGTATACTGCACAATACTAAGTGTAGTCCTGAGAGCAAAAAGTTTCATATAAGGTTTCAAAAATGCCTAGGACAATTGCTACCGCTAATTATAAATCGCCAACCTATTGTTTGTTGTCTATTAATACCAGTTCGAGGAATAAAGTATGATACTGTTATGATTACGTGCTCCCTGTCAATTTAGATTTTATGGAGAGGAAAGATTGATAAGTATTGTGTTGCAGGACAACGCATTGTAGTGTATGCAACACATGTTACATAGTAGCTTTAGATTTCTAATTTTATCATTTTCGCTCTCCTCGCCAAACCACTGTTCCGAACAGATTATTCGCCAGGTTTGATTAAGGTTTAATCTTGGGAAGTAATTCAAATTGCTGCATACAGAACTACCTGTTTGACTTTCATTAGGGCAATTATTCAATACGCTTGTGTGGGATTTTCCACCATTCTAGTGAGCCCCCCCCGCCCATCTTCTGTGCATACCGACATTATGGGCTTGAAATGGGCATGGTTTGTAAACAACACAATTGCGTAGTTTAAAGACAGGGAAACTGAAAGCAAAAAACCGGAACCAATATCAGACAAGGATATGAAACGGGTAATTTAACATTTATTTTTGATACTGATTAGCTTTTTTTTTTTATATATTTAAGTTTTTGATATTTGCATACATAATCCGTTGTATACAAGCCTTTGGTGTCATCTGACGTACGAAAGCAAAACAAGGAGAATCATGACCAATTGGTGGACAGGTAAAGCTGCAGAATGAAGACACCGTTGAGTCCCGCAGTATTTAATGGACAAATAAGGCTAGATACATTTTCTTTATATAAACACACTGTAACTGCGCATGCTCATTGTTGGTTATCAATTGAATGGGAGACGGACAAGAAAAAAAACCCCTTCAAAAAAACTCTTGTTCAAATGGTGAAAGTAAAATAGTAGTAAAGTCTTTATTTTTCCAACACACTGCCCGGGTGTAAGGTTCATAACCTTCTCCATCTCTCATGTGTAAGTTCGAATTGTTTATGTTCATAATAATAACAACCCCTTAATATCAATTCTTGTATGACAACTAAAAATAGGTTGTTACACTAAAGCAAATTTAGGGCGCAACGTTTGTTCACAGCTGCTGCCTTTGTATGCATATATTTGGAAAGCCGATCAATTTCGCTGTTCAACCAGCATCGCATCATCATGGTCTTTCATTAATTCGCATCTCGATAACAACTAACGTTGTTGAGAATCGCATATATTATGTGCTTTCCCAATATATAGCATGACAATGCCTTGAACTGCAGTACATAATGCAATAAGCAATGCATTCTTAGACGCTCTCTTCGAGTTAGAGAGCTCATCTGACTATTGTGTGGAATAAACATAAATAATACACCCTTTTAGCCTTTCAATTGATTGACAACAATAGGATGGTTCTTCGATAACGTTTTAGATAACGTTATGAAAACACAAATGGGCAAATTTGTGTTCTCTCCCTTTATAATTGACAACAGCATTGCCATTCGTTTTCGGCAACGAGAATTTGCCCATTTTTGCAAGAGTCGATTTCACACAGGACAGTCAACAAGTTCTCCTGATTTTTTTACAGTGGGATGCAATATATTAATATATAATGTACTTGGTATTGTTGATTGAATTATCATCATCACATTTATTATTCCGACTTTTTTATCATCACATCCGGTTTTATTCCTCTCTCTAGCGCCACACAAACTTGTGATTGGTCGCCACAATCCATTCAAGAATATGTGTAATAAACAACATAAAAAAACATGTATAAATGCACGTACCTCGCAGCGAAAAAATATAAACCATAATCTTTGATTCCCAAAATTTTACAATTGATTTTTATAACTTTATTAATTACTTACTGCCCATTACTTCCAATCGTAACTCTATAACTTAACCAACGAGACTATACAATCACGTCTTCGTTTATACACACGAACAAACAATTCATCTTGCATTTATACAACTTAAACCACATACACATACCCACCAACACAGTTGGTATTAATCCACAAACGAAAACGAAAACGCACAATTTATACACTCAGCACCTTATACATTTACCAATACTACTAGCTTTATAATTTGTTTTTATTTTATCAAATACCCTCAACTAGTCTTTAAAACATACGATCCGTTTCCATATTAGAACGCATAACTATACAACACTAGAATGACTGCGCATCGACCGTCCAACACACAACATCCTCATTCACACTCGGGCGATGACATGCTGAAGCGAAAGAGAGGTCCAATCAACAAACGCGCATGCGAGAGATGCCGTGCTGGTAAAGTTCGCTGCGACGGGAATGCAGAGCTACAGACGCCTTGTTCCAATTGTATACCAGATCAATGTACTTACGACCAATCTCCCAGAAAAAACAAACAGCTTGAACAGATGAAACTCAAACTAGACAACACTGAACGTAATTTAATGGCGAAAAAGAGACAGAACGATGATCAATTTAGAACCATAGAAGTCTTGCAGCTTGAGAAAAAAGTCATGGGAATGTTAATTGAGCCAGCTAATCTGTATCCCAAGGACAGGGAAATTTTTCAGACTCTGCACAAAGCAGTTAGCGAATCGAGAGTTTTTGAGAATATTCTGTTTCTAATTGAAGAGTGTCTAGGACGATTGAACAAACCGGGTGAGGATTACAGTGCAGTGATCGATTCTCTCAAACATGTAGCTAGTGCCACTGCTAATCTACCAGAACAAGTAAGCATCGATGTAGCGCTTGGTAAGCGTACCGAGTACGCTGGCATTGCGGCCGACATTGACTTGAGTTATCACAATCACCTGAAAAGAAGTGACCAAAGAAGTGACCAGAGAAGTGACCAAAGAAGCACGATTCAATTTCGTATTTCAAGCTCGGATGAAAGCAAGAAAGAGCCAACTGGCAACATTGATCAGGGTGTAATCCTAAACCCTTTGAGTCTCAGCAGAAGCATGGACACTTTACCCGGTAATATTAATGCAATGAGCATAGACACGGTGGTATCGCCCGCAGAAATCATGTCAGAACAGTCACCGTCAGATTGCTGCACACCGTCACCGCAGACCAGTTACCCGTTTTTGAGCCATTCGCCATGTCTCTCTTCGCCTTCTTCTGACAGTTCAGTGATTTCCCCTATCGAGCTACTCTCAAACGTGGACAATAATAAATTCTATCCTCAAACTTCATATCTCAGTGCGTCATATCAATCATCCGGATCTTCTACTAGCGCCGTAGAATACGACCCTTGGATTTACACCAATGATGCGTACATAACATTTAGTTAATCGGAATCGAGGGGGGTTTTTTTGGGAGTTTTTTTTAAACATAATTACTTTGACTATTGATGATTCAAGGATATTTAATATTTTATTTATTTCTTATATATTCAATCCAAAACGGACACTTTTGTTTTGTATGTGTTAATATTTATATTTTATATACGTATATATGAACTTATTTATGGCTATGGTTGTATTCTTCTTCTTTTTTTTTTGTATGCATGTATTTTACGATGGTTGTTTTTTTTCGCAGTCTTTTTTTTTTGTATGATTAGAATCCTTTACCTTCCCGTCCTCCTTACAAGAGGAATCACTTGTAAATAAAAGTATTGATTTGGATGTTCTAGAACAAATGTAAACGAACCGAGTAGTCTGAGGAGAAGGTGTGAGATTATGTAAATAAATGCCAAGTATCAGTTATTTCTCTGTGTTGTTGTCGATCTGTGTGATTGTACGCTAACAATTATTATCACATTTTTTGACCTAGTTCCCTACAGTCTTAATTAGGCTAAATTCCCCATTCAACGTTTGTCTGCATTCTTTTCTTACCTGTTAATTGCGGTTTGTTACATAACATACATGGGATGTGTAACTGACGATTACGTATATGGATGGATGTTAAATGAGGACTAATAATTATTAATAACGTGTGTGACTGTTTGCTTTCAAAAATTACCATAAAGGGACCTCTACACCCCTTTCATTGTCGTAGATTTCCTTTTTCTTTTCATATCCTTCCTTTGCACTTTATGGTATATTACTGGTTCATTTATTGCGTTATACATTATCCTGCATAATCTCGAGGCGGAAGCTGACTGGATGGCATAGAAATAATACTAGATATGATATAACTTTTTGTTTGTGTAATTAGTACCCGATTCTGTGATAAAGAGTTTGAGGTGATACAAATACAGATATAATAGAACAATAGTGATTATATCCCCGTTATTAGTATATTTTGCTCCAAACAATGGTTGGCCGTTTGCATACAAGACAGTCCATCCTAACATACTGGTAGATGATCAGACTTTTATCAGATAACACGGATCGATGCAAGCATGGTCATTTAGTCAAGTGCAATAATATTGTATGCTTGGTACTATAGTCCATGTATGCCACAGTTCAAGTACATCTTTCTAATAACAAGGTTTGTCTTTCGCAATAGTAATAGGCGGACAAAGTGTAAATCTGATCAAAGATTATCTTTCGAGTCTTGGCTATATTTGGCAATGGGAAACTTAAATAAAAGGCTACTCCCGAAGTAAATGGAACACCCAAATCTTTCATCGTAATATTCCTATATTTGTCAAACACTTAAGATGTAAATTTATAAGTACCGTATATACTACCGTGAATAAGCACCACCAAGATTACTTAGATTAACTGCATGACGTACCCCCCACCCGCAGCTCATTATGTAAGTATACAAATAAAAAATTATTCACGTTGCTTCTGGTTACTGCAATTACTGTTGTAAGCTACCCCTTAACGTTGTTGTAGATTATACTTTACGTAATAATTTACCGATCATTTTAATAATGCCGACAAGAGTTGACGTGAATAAGCCCCCCTCACTATGATAAGGGTGGGTGCTTATTCACGGTAGTATACGGTATATCTAAATTTGTCTTCATTAAAGTTAAAAAAGGTTAAATGTTTTCTAAGCGTTTGCTTATAAATACAAAAAGTTGCTTTCTCAGAAAGGCATAACTATTGTCATATCGATTCACACAATTATGTTCACATTACGTATTTGTCGCCTCTTTACGTCGAGGGTGCTACACAGCGTACATAATACAATTCATGTAAAACTACTTAACAATTACACTAAAAATTTGTGTGCCGTTCGGGCTTGGTTGAGTAAAATTTCGCTGTGCGAGATCATTGTCCACATGACTTGGTATCCGAAAAGCTCAACTTTGTTTGACGCGATCGAATTTGATACTTGCCAGAATGCGATTACCGATCAAGAAGGTCATGTCAATTGAAATTATTATTTGCTCTTTTTGTCGATTAAAGTCCTAGTAACTATTATTTACTGTATCTCTCGTTGCACACTACTATAACTAATCTACTGTTATAAATGGATTAATAGTTACCAGTAAATGTTGTACTTTAGTTCGGGACCTATCAGTCTAGACTCGGTTATCTCAGTCCAGAACTCAGGTGTCTCAGTCCAGAACCCAGTCATCTCAATCCAGAACTGAGACAGGACCCAAACTGTGGTACAAAAAAATATGAATATGGAGACATACACGGCGCAATAAAACCTATATGTTGAAACAAATGGAGCATGCGGTCTATACGTTATAAAATTGGTGTCAGTGTTTCCAAACAAATCCCTCTTAGAGCAACACTTGTGCACTTATTATCAGTTAAGAAGTAATTCGAACGCGGACTTTACCCATTGCCTGTTGGGAATAAATATTGTACTGTACCTAATACGCTAGGGTATAACTTATGTCAATAGTAATTTAAAAACATGGAGTTAATATACTTGAGAATTTTCTTCGCTTCTTGAAGAAGAACGCATAATCTGTTAAGTGATTTATTAGAAGAGATGCTCTGATTCTAATCTGATAATGTCTTGTTACTTGAAATTCTACGATTCTATTTGAGCACTCTTATATTACTGACATACTGGCCAAAAGTATTGGTCGCGCATTGAAATTACTAGTAACATAGTAAAAACCTTTAATTTTGAAAATATCTATCGTCAATACGTACTATGTAAGTCGCAGTGATTTTTGTACCGTTTTGAATGTATTTTTCGAAAAAAATAGTGTAGAACTTAAATTATCTACTGTAATGAAGAAGTAGTCCATGAAGTGGCGTATTTATCTTACACATATGATTTTCATACGGTTTCATATGTGCAACATGAATACGCCACTTTATCGAACTGCTTTAGAACGATAACAGGGCTGAATATATATTAAAAAATACAATCAATTAGCTTCAAAACGGTGCAAAAATCATTGCAACTTGGATAGTACGCATGGACGATAGAGATTTCAAAAATTAAAGGGTTTACTACGTTTTACTAGTAAATTTCAATAAATGACCAATACTTTTGGCCAGTATGTATGCAGAGTACGTGTATAAGTTATTACCAGTCAAACCGGTTGTACCTTTACATTCTCTCTGCAAAATTCATAATTGCTATTGGAATATTTGCCAGATTAGGATTGATATCTAATCTCATACTTAGGAGTAGTATGACACTAGAAAGCTTATTAAACAACATTAATAGCATAAGTCGAATAACGAGAAAAAACTTCGTATTTTGCTAAAGTTTACTGAGTTATAATAATACAGAATATGTGTTTTATCGTTCACAATAATAATTTAACCCTTGTAAATATTAATACTAGATAGGAAAAATTTTTATCATGCAGGAGCATAATTGAAATCTAAAACTTTAATTTGTTGTTGTTGTTGTTGTTGTTGTTTTTCACAGACTCATTAAGTACGAATTTATGGTATTTTAATAAAAAAAATTTTTTTATGATTCTACTTCACGACTTGAGTTTAGCTTCGGTGGCATAGCACCCATGTTAGAAATTCAGGCAAGACTGGCTCTGTAACAGGAGCTATTTGCGGTAAGTAGTGTATATCATTAAATAATATAGACCATTTAATGTCTTCGGATTTCAAACCGTTTGCAACATATAATTGTACTATGTAATTTCTCAAAACTTTTTTAAACCAGATAATAGCTTTGAAAATTTTTTACCTGCATCTCAAAATAAGATATGAATTTTCCTATTATATTACTACTACCAGCAATATTTGTCGCAAACAAGCTTTATAATAAATCAAGTATGGTTGGTCGTCAATTACTATTATAATCTGGCCACTACAGTAGCCTTTAATTTAATATTCCAAGACATTGTCTTGAACCTACATTATTATCACATATTTTACTCAAGTTATAGACTATAGGTTTATTATGTGATAATTATGTTATTAATTTTGTACATTCTGAATAATTATTATTACAGTCCTGGTCAAAAGTAATAACGGGGTAACTTGGTTTGTCGTTGTTCAACGTGTAATATAATAATTTTTCTAATATTACTGAAAAACCTAAATAAACATGTACTTTCGGTGCGTTGCAAAAAACAAAATTTGTAAAAGTTTGATAGTAGCAAATTTGGGGTAATTTTCTATCTGTTAAAATATTAGAAATATTTCAGTATTCTCAATAACGAATGAATGAATTTTGATAATTATAGCTTTATTAAATTGATCATGATGCAACAAACAGTTTGATAGTTTTCCTATTTCGATTTACACATTATATGTTAAGGTATAAAAGTTATTAAAATTTTCTTCAATTCTTAAAGGCAAAGTTAGTAGTACCAGCAACTCAAACAACTGCACTTAAATTGACAACAAAAGTGTATTACATTATAATCTTTTCAAAATTCAGACACTTGCTTATAAACATTGGAAAATAAAATTTTTTGTGTAGTTATTATGCCTGTTTTTGTCTTATTTAAAAAGAATTCTCCGCCATTACTTTTGACCAGGACTGTAAAACAAAGCTTGGACTTTTAATCGATTAATACGGAGAGTTATGGTTTTACAACTTTAGTCAAAGCGATTGTTTTATCTTATATGTTATTTGTCCCGAAAAACGGATTGTTATAAAGCTGTACTCGTTGAACCGGACTATTGAGTACATATCACAAACTATGAAAAAGATTTGCATATATATGTTGTACCTCGTTTGGGGATCTGTTATGGACCGAGACAACTGAGTTCCGAGACAGGTCCCGAACTCAGACACAACATATATAAATATTACACTATTTTTTTATATTCTCAAAGTTAGCGAAAGGTTTATTTTTTATATAAAATATGTCACGTGATATACTCGTATCGATTTCAGGAACGTGCTAAGAAAAAATTAACCACAATATTATTTGGTCTTTAGTGTGCAAATCGGTTCAGAAAATGCGTACCCTTAACCGTTGTTGGCTGTATTTTAACCTTTTTTCGAGCAAACTCTAGACCTCATGCTCCGAATGGCTTTTTCGTTTTTGATGGATTGTTTTAATTGAGAATCTGACAACCGGGGCTAGCTGTTGCAGCTTTAGCTCGCATGGTGTCAAAACCCAATTCTCATGTTGCCAAAAATTTCTGCTGATTTCTCCAAAAATATTCGTAATTTATTATCTTCAGCTTGAACGGTAAGGAAATATCATGCAATTGTAAACACAACGTCAAGCGTACACTTCTATCAGTCAAAATGTTCTTATCGCTAAATCGATTTCCCTTTTAATTGCAAAAGTAATAGTAAATTCCACGTGATAATTTGATGGAGAGTGCGTGTACATTTCGTATACTAGCACCTGGTTGACATCAAATGTTTGACATGTGTGATTAAAAGCTACTTCTCCGAATGCTTAGTCCTCTGAATCAATGGTCTGCCGGTGCTTTCGAAATGTTCAGTCCATAAAGTACAGTGTGCATTTATTAATGAAGATAGGAGTAACTTATAATCTTAGGCACCGCTCTTGTTCTAATGACGCAGATAAGACTTACTGTGTGTTGATTAATTAGAATTATTGTTTCGAAAAATATTTGAATACATACAAGTAGAATTTTGTGTATAATTTTAGTAACGTAAACTAACTGTAATAATAGAAACCTCAAATACCTGATGTATTATCTTGTATATGTCTGGCTCGTATAGCGACGAATGTATGAATGCCTTTATAAGAATTGCAAAGCTGATTAATGCCGTAGCCATTTAACACTCTATCTGATATATAACTCATAGCCGCAAAGTAGATACAACACAGCCTAAATGTCTTAGTTAAACAAATCAAATACTAACGTATACACTCTGTAAATGAATTGCATGATTACCGATTCGATAACTTGTTTGACTTTTTTAACAAGAACGCTTGACGGATTGAACGGTACCTCAAGTTAATTGCGACTCATCTTCTTTACTTGCGGATTGCAGAACGGAAAGCTATTCAAATTTCAATGGTGATTTCTACCAATAGAAAATTTCTTCCGTTATGGTTAAGGTTTAGGGTATTCTTTATGTTTGTTCAACAATTCTACAACTGACTCCGACATGTTGGAAATTTTCATTTTCTATTGAACTTACGAGAGAGTAATAATACTATTCTGTCTCTTTTCGAACTTGACTTTCAGTCTGATAACTTATCTGATATCGTCCTGCCAATTTAATAAAAAGCCGAGAAAATTTTTTCCACGGCAATATCCTAGTTTAAATATACAACATTGTCATTACTACTCATACTGTTTTGTCAGCTCATCAGGGGCCCCACATAGTGGTACCATTTCTTTATTTTAATTATTTTGACGTTACAGGCTACTGAATCAGGGTATTCACCAATAAATGATCTTTCTCGGAGAACACATGCCCTTACGTTGAACCTTTTACTCAAGACTAAGTGAATAATAAAACCTAAAAAAAAATTTTTTTTATAAAGTTGCTTAGTAACTGGCTCAACATCTGCAATCATAGTTGTACATCGTGTCAGATAGTAGTACTGATATTCGGCAGATCCCAAACATTAATGTCCGTTGAGCATATATTAACATTGTCTAGCTGCAATAATATCGTGTAAATTCGGAAGAGACCATTTTGATTCTTGTAAACAAGCTACAAATACAAAGGTTATGTATCCGGCTAAATATCGCGAACGGTTATGGTTTCAGCAATTAAAAGGCGTCGCGGAGATTAATCTAACTGAATTAGGTCGAGAAGAGTTATCTACTGCATGGTATGATGTAAACTTGGTAATTTAACTTTTAACCACTTGCACACTTGCAATTGTTGTCTGGGGAAAAAAGGGAGGAAAAAAAAAAAAAAGAGAAAAGCTTTGTGGAGAAATATTTGCTTGAATGGCATGTGAATTTCGACAATATATAGGCGTTTTGGTAAGACAATGAAATGGATTTTTCGGGAACAATGAGATTAGAAGATGCAGTGTCTATATTTACAAACTATAAATTTTAACAGACAATTTTTATTGCAATCGTAAAATAATGCACGACGCTAATTGTTTTCCGCCATTGCCGCTGCCGTGCGAATGTCTCCTGATAAAATGTATGTTCAAATTTGTCAAGAATGGTTGAACGGACATCTACAGAGTGTCGTATATCGCGCCTTAAAAGGATGCCCCCCTGAATTCTATACCGACTATTTACACAGACGTATTTTATACGTTGGAATGAGCTTTTTTTTTCTTGTGCATGTCAATTGTCATGTATCTTTCAGTCATACTCGGCGCCCATATGCTCGCGTATATTGTTTGTCAATTTTTCTATATTCTTTACCCATTTCTTTATTGTATAACGAACTTACGTAATAGTGCTTTCTCGTATTCTCACCATTCTGATTATAATGACATTCTCCTATTGGAAAAAAGGTTACACCAACAAAAAATTTCACGCATAAATACAGATAATGTCATATGACTGGACTCCAGGGCACACATACAATGATGATGTGAGCAAATTAATATACAATTAATATTTTCTACTCGCATCATTATTAACTGCTATATATAATTTATACTATTTAAATAGTTTGTTCATGCATATATTTGTGATCAAATCAGGGAAAGGAACCTTGCCATTGGCATTCATTATTTATGCATTCATTATTCCGTTTGTTATACCGGTGTACAGTAACCATGCCCGATATTTCAGAGAGCATATGAGAGACCGACCACTCTCTCCTCACATAGAATGCTCGTTCTCTCTTAATAACTACAAATACAGCGTTTCTGTTGCATTTTTATTTGACTACTTATGTAAGGAGCAACGAGATTTTCGGATGGGCGTTCTGTTTAAGCATTACTCGGCAGAAAAAGAATTTGATTCTTTGTTCAGTTGCAGCTATTCTCATAAGCTATGGCTTAGCATTTATCGTGATACTAGCAAATAGCAGAGTAAATTTAGTTGTCAACAATGTGCGAGAACCGTTTTAGAACAATGTTTACAAGTTGTTTGAGGGGAAAAAAATTTTTTTTTTCCTTGTCTTTACCGATTACTTGTATAAAGTATAGTTTAGCGTATTCGAGTGTTTCAACAAGTTATATTTCCCATGTCTTGTGGATAAACGTTTTAGTATTTGTTAGGATATTAATATAGGATAACATATACAGAGTTATTATCACATATTGATACATATACCATATACATATTGATATACATACATATATATATTGTGCATAATACACATATCACTAATTGTGTTGACTTGACGTACATTGCTAATCGCCGAATATGATGGCAGATTTCAGTCAAAGATAGAATACTTCCTCTTTTAGTATCCATCATTTAAGCTTACATGCACGCCACGAGTTGTCAAGCATAGTTCTAAGATAACTAACTAGTTACTTTAATGACACGATTACTACACTAAATATACATTGGCCTGTGAACTTATTTTCGCTTTAATTGATCCCAGAGACTTTTTCGTTGCTTTACATTTCAATATACATGTTTTCAATAGAATATAACGATACACATGATTACTCCTTGCTTCAGCAACAAAATCACATGAATTGACTATTCATATAATATTAGTATCCCAGTAATCAATTGAGGCTTTATTGTGCAGAGACAAAGTAAACAAGTATGCTTCTTGAAGGTCTATCATGTGATAATATTGCAAAGGTCCAAGAGATAAAAGACACCCAACGGACGCCGAGAACATTCAGGCAACAAACATTTTCATCTCTATTCCACACCTTCCTCTCCCCCAACCTATCGGCCACTCTCAACCCCCGCTCTCTCAATAACCTGCGAGTGTGCTGCTCTATATCACAACGTATTCACGAACTCAGTTGCCACCGCAACACCACAACATTACAAAAAAAAAACATTTATATGAATGACAATGCTCCTGAAACGGCGTTTTCCCTCCCAACAGCAATTTATTCCCACTGCCAAGTGCAGTATGACTCTACTCGTTATGTTATATCATCAGAGAATACAAAACCCATGAACATACTTTGAGCGACCATACCGCTCTTTATCCAACAATAATATGCAAAATATATAAATCAAGAAAAAGTGCTAATAAGGATCAACAAATGTTTAACCAAGGCCAAGCGAGCTTGTCGGCGTGTGATTGAAGAATGTCTAAACAAAATCACATCAGAAATCTTTTTTTTTTTCTCGTGCTTGAACGGCTATGTTATTTTAAATTGAATGTTAGAGAGTTGGGTGTGTGAAACAAGACAATTGATGTGAGTGAAAAGTGAGTGAGCAATATCAGAATGAGAGGAGGGTGAATAGATAGAGATAGAGAGAGAGAGTTGTATATAATAGAGGAGGCTGGAGTTGGGTGATGACATGTATCTATAAGAGATATGATAAATTCTTAACATCATTGGTAAAATAGATTGTTCTCAGATATCGAAAAAAGAAAAAGAAAAAAAAAAATAGAATAAAGAAAAAGATTTTGGATAAAGGAGAAAGTGTTCATAATCAAATATAACCTTAATGCAAATCATAATACGTCTAAAGCATATATATACACATATATGAAATTCTTATTTTCATCGCTATAACGTAACATATCACTAACCAAATGTTGTTTGAATAGCTAAAAAAAAAAAGAAGAGCCATTTGAGCAACAATATACGTACGCAGTCGTGTGAATACTGTCAGATAAGCTTCTAATCTTCCTTACTTCTTCATACATTCCTACATTCCTCAAGTCATACACATATTTCATATTAAAAAGACCCAGGATCATTTTCGAGTGGGGAAATGAAAAAAAGTTCATTAAACATGTTATTCCCCCCACCGATCTAGCTTAATTTGAGTTTTTGTGGCAATGAGCACAGATTCTGCATTCGGACAAATAGGGAAATGGGTAACAGAAATTTCAAGGTTAATAAACACTATCTACAACGAGAAGCAATTGGATTAATATACAACTACGGCAATATACATTCTATGCTAATAATAATAACTGTCCCCAATTATCATTATCTTACTTTGAATTACCTGCGTGTAATGAAGAATTATCATAAAAGATCGTCCAAAGCGTATAACATCAAAAAACTCCTCTTTTTTTTTTTTTTTTTACTTGCGTGGCCATCATATTCAATATCCTTTTTTCTGCATCTCTCTATCTCTATAATTTCCCTCTATATCCCCCAAGACCACTGCTGATTATGCGTCGCTTTAATGCTATCCTGCCCATGATGACCTTGCCCATGTCCATGAGAATGGCTATGAACATGGTGATGTTGTTGCTCACTTCCATGTTGCACCATAACATCCTCGTCCCTGCTTGCTTGATTCCCTGGACCAAGAATGACAGATACTCCATCCGAGATCATACTAGACCCACTTCCACCGCTCTCTCCGCCCATCTGAGACATTTCATTTAACGGCATACTAGACGTTAATTCAGATTGAGACGATACTCCTACGTTAAAGTTGTAGGTTTGGTTCATACCCATATTCACATGCGGAGTAGTTGGCGTAGTTGAACTAGAAGAAGAAGAATAGTACATGCGGCGAGTAGGAGACTGCTGACTATGGCTGCTGGGAGCCTGCGGAGATAGAGCTTGCGGAGATGAAGATGTCTGAGACGGTTGTATCAGAGGTAGGCGCTGGTGATATATCTGCTGAAAGCCCATTGACGGCAATACGGGAAGATTAGTATTGGACGCAAGCGGTGGAAGAGATGTATTCGGCGATGTCAAATTACTTCCTGGTATCGATGCATTCCTGATGAACGTCATTGGTGTTCGTTCAGACATCCAATTCGTCGCATCCATCAACGTAGATTCATTTGGCGATGAAAGTGTCTGAGGATCAGTTTGAGGCATTGAAGATTGCGACTGATGTTGAATATGATATGGATACGTAGCATAATTAGCTGCTGACCATTGGGTCTGAGCCGTAGAGTGATAAAGAGGAAGATTGGATGATACCGTTGATGTCGGAGAAGTATTTAATGATAGATTAGGTGCATCTCTTCGAAACTGTTGATGTTGAGAAGGATAATGAGTGTAGGACGAGGGTGGTGTTGATTCGTTAACCGCAGACGTTGAAGGATCAATCGGCGGGTGACTGGATGTTGAAGCAGAGAACATCTTTTGAGGTTGAAAGCTGGACGGAACAGATGGAGATCTCTGTTGCTGCTGCTGCTGCTGCTGCTGTTCTTGTTGTTGTTGTTGTTGTTGTTGTTGTTGTTGTTGTTGTTGCTGCTGCTGCTGCTGCTCTTGCTGTTCCTGCTGCTGCTGCTGCTGTTGACGAAGTACCGACTGTTGCGATTGCTGATTAGTGAGCCACGGTTGCTGTGCCGGCGGCGGATATTCGGCAGATCGAGTAGCTGCCGTATGCGCAAGCAATTCCATCCCAGTGCCACTTTCATTCCGTTTGCTCGTCGGGTTAGTACCGTCACGTACATTTGATGAACTTTGTAATTGTTCGGGTAAGACCTGCCTACCCCCGCCGATAGATTTAGAACCACGATTCTCAGACGAGACGAGTTCAAGCGCCGCCTTTACTATATTCATAGTCTCTTCATCAATATCATCAGTATTTTCTAGTTGGCAGGCAAATATTGCAATTAAATGTTTTGTAGCAGAGTGTATATAATGTAAAGAGGGTATTCCAATGACCTGCTGAAATGTACTAATTGTCTGTATTACTTGCATCTTTGACTTTGCCGCCAGTTGAGCGTTATTAGCCGTGTTATTTATATGCCTAACATGAATATATCCAGCGTACAACACACAATGTATGATAAACTGATTACTATTTATAATATTTACAAACTCATCCGTCATGAAATTTGTGATAGTATTCGCAGCCTCCGTACAGATACTCATACTATGGTCATTATCGATATTCTGGATGTGCATTCTTATCAAAGCATAATTGTACAATAAGCAAAGATATACTCGTACGTGATCAATCGTTGTACGTGAAATAGCCGTCCGCAATGGCTCGACTTTGTCAATTTGTAGAAATGGTGGTAAATCGTTCTTCCATTGCATCAGTCTTTTTTCGAGCCCAATCATTGAATTTTCACTCCCATTGTCCGGATTGAGAATTCGTTCTAGTACTTCATACATAATCTTTGTAATCTCCACATAGTGTACAAAATAGTCGGTGAATTGTCGTTCCGTTACCTCATCATCCCCCAATGTTTTCGGAGAACCTATTGTGCAGTGTTTATCCTCGAAAGGGAGCATGCGATTTCGTGTAATACATTGTAAATGATTGACTATTTGGATAGCCCACCACAGCTGAATGAAAGCAACGGGTAAAAAAGTTAATAATAGTTGATATATAACTAGTATACTCTTGTTTGACAAGATTTTTATCCTCTTTGATCGGATATAATTAATTTCACTTATATTGATTGTGACATACTCTCTTTCTGGCTTCTTGTTCGTTCGCCGGACGCCCTTCAGATGAATTATGATCATGTAGTCGTAACGTAACAGCAAGTGTTGTCGCCATCCCAACGTAAATTGTACCTTTAAAGCTACGCTGAGCATCGAATATGCCCAGCAAAAAAAATGCGGTAGCGGTACTCAGGCGCGGCACGTTCAAGTATTGGTTGACCATCTCTATTAAATAAGAACAATACAAATACGATCATCCGCAATATGTTCAGATATAAGATAACAATGGGTATTAATTAATGAACACGTTATAACAAAAAGAGAATACAAAAAGAAAAATCGGAAACACAAGGATACTTTTTTTTTTCCTTCTTTTTTCCGATCCTAAGCATTGTTTGGGCAAATTACCTTGAGCACTTTCATAAAAATTCAAGCCCACAGTGTGAGGGTCGTTAGGATGCTTTCTAGCTTCTGGGTTATCAGAATAATTCGAACCAATTGCACATATCGCCAATAATAACAAGGGGGATATCGGCCTCTTGGTATCACTCAGTCTATTCAGAAAGTAGTTTTTATGCAGCACCGGGAGAAGAGGGTGAAAGTTTTGAAAATAAAGACTGACAAGGCTGTTTGTCAACTCTGTTGATGGTTTCAAATGACTAGTAGCGATAACTCCTTTTGATGTACGAGGATCGTCTTGAGGGGGTGGATAATAACGAAGAAGTTGCTTCAACAAGTCTTCTCCATTTTGATTAGTCATTGATGTGAACAGTTCCACTCTATATTCATATTCATCCTTGCGACAAAAGTCAGATTTCAAATAAGGGGGAATTGCTCTTGTCCGTCTACTAGATAATAAAGATTGTGAAGGTGTGCTCTCACGTGCTGAACTACGTAATGTTCGATCACGACCAGTTGTTGAAATGAAGGGAGATCTAGTTGGTGATAATGATCGTTGTTGTATTTGTCGATTGGGCAGAGAGGAAGAAGAAGTAGAAGTAGAAGTAGTAGAAGATGATGTTGTGGCAGTACTGGATGAACCAATTACTCTCGGGGTACGATTAGATCTTTGATTGTATGTACATTCAAGCTTGACCGATACGCAATAGTTACAGGGTGTTTTATTATAGCCGTCTCCATGGCATTTGACCTAGAATTGAATCGGAGAATGAGAAGATCGTAAGTTGTAACAAAACGATTGTTGTGATTTGTAAGCTTGTGCGGTTGACGATTATAGGGTATCGTTAGTAGTGTAACTATACTTGTTTGCCTTATATAATATTGAATAAATTTTAATTTACAGCTTATACATTCCATTGTTCTAAGTTGCTGGGTTTTGCTTCTCTTTTTTGTTTATTTTTTTCCCTTTTTTTTTCCCTTTTTTTCCATTCTTTTTTTTTTTTAACGACTGCAACTCGAGTGGCAAGACTATTGATAAATCTCCTTTTCCAAAGTATTCTTATAAGAACTCTTGCAGCGTTGTACGTTACCTTCCTTCTCCTGCATCTATCACAAGCTATAGTCTTTAGTTTCTTATCGCGCAGTGGTTCAGACTCTTCTGAGGGTCTTTTACCACTCATCTACGATATTCGGTGTTAAAGGAAAGTTAACGCGGGACGGTTTCTGCGTTTTTATTTCGTTACTATGGTCGTAATTCTTTGTGCTTTTTAAAGCACTTTCCAAGAATCTTTATCAGAAGTGAGCTTGATGCTGGATTAAATAGGGTAAGGGACTGACTATATAAGAAAAGACCGAACAGGTTTAAACCTGTTTGCTTGTTAGAGTATTTCCCCTATAGACAAATGGAAATTATATAGTCTGCATAGAGGAAGAATATGGGTCGTATGGACAAATATTGACCGGGTTTGAACTTAACTTCCAATAACGAAAGCTGAAAAATATTCTCACTCGAACAAGAGTCATATTTATAGTATCGTCAAATATTGTTTTAAAACAAGCAAAGCTATTTTTATGTTATACATTGTATATATTAATGTGACTACGTATTCAAGCAAATGAATCCGAAGCATGCTGATGTTGGATATCGAAACCAATGAGACCGGTTTACTTACAGTCCAATGATGACAATAATGCCAGGCAGGTTATGTCTAAAGCTGATATTGGGTCAAGAGTCCTGCAATTTCTAGTTGGGTCGGAGAAGCAATACATTAGAATTTAAATAGAAATATTGTCTATTGAGTATTTATATTAAAATATACTAATCCACACATTTTAAAGTAGTTTCCCGCCATTTTCGATAAATGGTAAGTATGATCATGTGTGCGACATTGTCGAGTCACACCAATCTCTTGCACCACGGCTGCGCAATATAGGTAGTAGTCAATTCAAAAGCGTACGTACGTATTCTAGCATGATGTGATCGCGCGTTCAAAACACACGTGCACACATGCTATATCGAATATCTCCCGTATATATATATACTATGTTGCAGGGACAGGAACATGTTCAATTTGGTAAATTCACATGCGGCTCATGCGGCTCATGCGGCGAGCTGTTTATTATCTCTTTGAAAAAATAGTATAATTAAGTTTGTGTCCCTCGCTTTTATCGACAATTAGGAAATGCACCACCTTTACGATATGCTAAACTGTCGATGCAAATTCTGATATGACCACTCTCCTGAACTTTGATACTACTGAAAGGTTGCAATTGGGGACGATTGCAATAATTAGATGTTTTAGATTAAAACACATGGTCAACTTTTAATAATGAGATAAAACAACTGACAAACCATGCATAGCAGTAGTGTGGAATGTGGAAAGCATGCGAGATGGTTCTGATGCTACGATACTCTGCAACCGAGCGTCGATGGGCTAGATATAAATAACAAACGCTTCGGCGATATAGAGATAAGAATGTAATTCATCCACCCCCTATTCAAAGTTTACTAGAAAACTCTATTATCGGTTGTGGTACATGTCCCTTTCGCATAGATAAATTTGTTGTATATCATTTAATTTAACGAGAATGTATCAAACGTTACGCAGTTTTCAATACCGCGATAGTTAAAACAATTAATTCTCCTAATTCAATGTGTTAACAATAGTTAAACTAAATGTATATATAACTACCGTCCACGTGGGTTTCATTTCGCATCAAGGTTGAGATTATATACTCGGTGAGAGATTGAAACAAAGTTTAATAACACTATTTGTGTGTAAATATTAGAATATTCTTGTTTAACTTTATACATACCCCAACACAACGCTTGTCATAGAACTAATCACGCAATCGTGTCTTGAATGCTTTTTATAATTACCAAATATACATCTATTTTACTAATTTTGCACCGAGTTTTATTGGTACTCCCGTCCTTGCTTGACACAAGCTGTTCGAGAAAATGGGTCGTCGGGATTTGACCTTTTTCTCCGAGAAAACATCACACGGACCTGTTGTTCAATGCACTATGCACTTCTAAATAGCCGACGACGCAGTTATTGTTTATTACATTAATAATGTCAAGTTTCAAAAAAAAGAATGCTCATTTCATAATTCGTCCATCATCAGCCATGTAATCCTATACGGAATAATAAAGGATATGTCGTTATATCCTAAAAATAACATTTGAGGTTATCTGACGTAGGCATCATTTATCGTGGGTGATATCCGTGTGTGATTGGTTACCGTATTTATAAATATTATGTAAAAAGAAAACAAAAGACTATATGACTCATCTATAAAACATCTAAACAAGCACGGTAAACGTCTGTTAGGTCTTGGAGATATAAGTGTTAGTAACCTTGAATTCAATACCAAATTAAATGTAGTAAGCATCATGACTATATTAATCATTATGACAAATTAGGTCATTTAGGCGTCAATGTTTCTGACTGATTTCATTACGATTCGTTTATTTTGTTTACGTAATTAAACATCTTTCTTAATTTTCGGTTTCGGTATGCAAGATTGATTATATATAAAAATCTCTTAGTGGCTTTGTCTAATTAATTTATCGGTTATTAGAATATGGCTACATTTCTTTCGTCGCCACTGATTATAATGTCGCATATGATCTTCCATCACATATGCAGGGTAAGCGATTCCAACAAATATTTGTCCTCACAAACGTCTATAAAAGTCAAACAGGCCGGCTTAATTACTAAAAATTGCACGCTGTTACGGATTCTCAGTGTCAGACTTACGTTCGTACGATATGTTGTTTTATTACTTGCGTAAAAAGATCCATTATATTGTGATATGGGGCATCTCTCTCTCATAGAAACGAACAATGATCGTGTTCCATTCTTGCTTACTATTGTCCTTTCAACAAGTGGCAATATTATTGGCTTAAGTATGACTCGACTCCCTAACCCAATGACGTATTGTATGATGAATAGTGGTACACACAGGACACGTGAAGTGACACATCATGTTTGTAATATCGGTTAATATAATACGGCATACTGTGTAAACGGAATTAGTGTATAGTCTGTATAGTCTTAATACATTTTTAATACCCATGACTTATGCCGCATCACAATATGCTTTTATTGAATTACCATTCAGAGTAAATATAATTGCATTACAATGCAAATCCACAAATGTGTGTCATCTGATTCTGATTAATAGATTGTCATTACTGTTAATGATTTATGATGGCGTTCGACATGAAAACAGAACCAATCCAACAGTCAAGTTTAAGCGAGCTGTGCTCAAGTCTAAAAGTCTTGCTCCATGTGGATATATTCACCTCGAGTATATGCATGTCTACTAGACGCGTAAACCATTATATTCCATCTAACCAGATTTAACAGTGTGCATTTCAACATTATTCTGTATTTTCGGCATGTTTCAGCCTAATAACAAGTGGTTATTACGAAATTGCGATAAAGGAATAGTACAAAGTATGACGGTCACATCCCATTGCACAAATCTCCGACTTTTATATTATATTCAATATATACGGCTCATGTGACTGAGAATGCTTTAATCACCGCGCTCAATATATCCAAAATGGAGCTGCCGATAATCATCCGACTATTCTATTAGTTCACTGAACCGTAACGCTCCGACGGTACCAAATATAATGTCCAATACAATTAATTTTGGTTATTTCGTAATTGTTGTGACAATATTTATTTTCTTGGGTTTCATAAGCTTTTGTAGTCTTTCCCTTTGAAGCCTTATTTTGCCCCATGCCACCCCTCAGAATGCTCGGCACCAAACATAACATCGCGCCCGATATCATTTTACTAATATTCTGTTACTCAACAAGCAATCTGGGTTATCTATAACATGTTTTGTCCCAGATTTGCGCAGAGTGAAACACAACTGCGATTATTCTTACAAACTATGTGGACAATGTATTCGGTCATTATCATCATTGACGCTATAATTTGAGTAATCATGATCATTGTTGCCATTTGTGCCTTGAACAGCGACTGGCGCAGTAATCATTAAAAATATCAGTTCCTTATAAAGTCTTTGTAAAAAGAAGATGTAGAAGAAGTCAGAACCCGTAAAAGAAGGCGAATCTGTGAAAGAATGTATCCAAGTTTAGCATTATTCTGAAGAAGGAAAACAGAAGAGCTGAGACGCATAATCGGATGGAACGACTACATTATATAATCATCTTATATATGTTTGTTGACAAATCTTAAATAAAGTGTTATTTGTAACATGGTCGCATATTATTAATCAATGTACCCATAAAGTGCGGCTTTATTTGCTGAACGCGTGACTTTGCAGCAATGAGTGAATGTCTAATCCGAGTTACATTACATAGTACCTGCATTTTCG